TGCTGGCTGGGGAATTCTGGGAGTTGAAGTCCACTCATCTTAAAGTGGCCAAGTTTGGACAACACTGTTCTATATGCACATGGCACTTCAGAACTACCTGCCATTTTGAAAAGAATGGGCAGTGGGCTGATCTCAGCCAGTTTAAAACCACATTCTGGGGATAGCTTCATCTTGAAGGCAGAATTTTCCATGGCTTCCTAACCTGTAGTTTTATCTCTTCAGCTGCTCTCACTAGTTCAAGGACAGGCAATTCATGGCCCCACAGATGATGATGGACTTCTACTCACCATCAGCCCTAGCCAGCAGTGTAATGGGAACATCTGAAGGATCACCAGTTTCCAAACTATAATTTAGTTCTTCATATTTTTGACTTCCATTGTCTCTTGCCTTAAATTTAACACTAATGCATTAATGAAGCAGGAAAACAGCTGACCAAGGATCATCTAACACCCCAAGTTCTTTGTGCAGCAAAAACCACCAGATTTTCCTCAAGGAGAAATGAGAATAATTTTAATATTTATTGTTTCAGTCATCATTTAGATCAGGGATTTTTAGCAATAAAATAATCACACAACTCCAATCAGAGGCTTGAAAAGTAATTTCTAAAAACTTTTATTATTTTTTAAAAAGGCAGGAAATATGAACAGTTCTCTATATTCTCAGCTTAGACTAGGTTCAGTATTTATATGAGTCCACCTTAAATTAAGATGGAAAGCTTCTTTCCCATCACTTTTACATTCCAGATTAATACCAGAAAAATCAGATGAAGCAGCCTAGCAGCAGAAGGTACTGGAGACTCTCCAGAACACAAAGATAAAAAGGAACCATTAGAAAATTCAAGACATACAATTTACATTTAGTGAGAAATCAGTTTAAGTTATTTAAATAGTAAGTGAAGAACCAACTCCTTGTGATCCAGTGTTTGATAACCTTGGACAATTGCTGGGTTGAAACTGCTCCCAGCACACAGTCCAGCTACAGCATTAAAAGCACATTGTTACAAGGGTTGTGCAATTCTTCAATCTGGTTCAAAAGATGTGCTTCAGAACACACAGCAGTACAAATGTAGCAGCTGTCTGTGACTCATTAAAGTAGCTCTTTCTGTTTCCAGGAGACTTCTGCTGCAGCCACACAATCCTGAGGGCACTGCTACTTTAATGAGTGGAAGTTGCTTTTGTGCTCCCACATGTTCCAAAGTATCTCCTTTTAATAAAATCTGAAGCACTGCAAGCCAAATGTTTTACCATCTTTAACTTGCAGCTCTAGATGTCTACATTCAAAGAACAGAATTAACCCCTTTGACACGTTTCCTAGGCAGCTATACAGATGGCAATGTGCAGGGGAAGACTGGCCGTCTTCCAAGACTGAAACGATTCAGCTGCCTACAAAGTGAGACACTAGCTTCATCCCTGAGGCAGGGAACTCTGTTGTAATTTAGGGAGGGGAACATGAAGGACCTTAACTGAACTCCCCCCTCTTTCATCAGAGTATCTGGAAAGCAGAGTGCTGCTTTGGGCACTGTACCCTTCCATAAAGTTAAAAGCGAGGAGTGATCAAAGCCAGCTCTCTAAGTGCCCACAGTGGGAAGCTATTTGAAATTCTGCCTGCTCAGCTTCACCTGTCCAACATCTGTCTCACAGAGAAAAGGCACAGGGTAAGTAAAGCTGGTTCCTAGAAAAAAAAAAACAAAAAAAACAAATAGCATATAAAAGTTTTCCCCACTGGAGGTGGGCTTCCTGGAAACAGCCATTTCAAAATGCTCCTTGGACCTGACTCCTTTCTGCAAGCTGGATAATGGAAATGTCTGCAGAGCATAAGAGGTGGCTTTCACTTTGGGCTGCAGGAGGAACTCTTGGGAAGAATTCCTTGAAGGGTAGAGCCTCACATTCCTCCTTAAATTTTTCAAGAGCATTTGCTTGGCAAAGCCTAATTCAAGAACTCAGAATTACAGAGGTTCTTAAAAGTTTGTGAAACCTTTTGCATGTTCAATGTTTCTCCATAAATATGACTTAAAATGTGTTCTGTTCTTCACACATCCTAAAACTAGATAGACAGAACCCAATTAAACAAATGAGTCAAAAACATTATACTTGTTCATTTATTCATTGAAGAAAATGATCCAAATCTACATATTTGTGTGCGGTAAAAGTATGTGAACCTCTAGGATGATCAGTTCATTTGAAGGGAAAATTAGAGTTGGATGTTTCAATCAATAGGTTGATAATCAGGGGTGAGTGTGGGAGGTCCTGCCTCATTTAAAGAACAGAATTCTGGGTATTCACAGTCAACATCTGATCTTCACAATACAGGGATGTGGAAGTGTGTCATGGTTTGAACAAAGGAGATTTCTCTGAAAAACAGTTGTTGACATTCACCAGTTACTGAAAGCAAAGGTTCACATACTTTTGCCACACACAAATATGTAGCTTTAGATCATTTTCCTCAATAATAAATGAACAAGTATAAAGTTTTTGACTCATTTGTTTAACTGGGTTCTCTTTAACTTGTTGTGTGGAGAACAGATCATGTTTTAGGTCAAATTTATGCAGAAATACTGAAAATTCAAAAGAGTTCACAAACTTTTAAGCATCACTGTAGATGGGTCATATATGCCATATATTCTTAGCAAAATATGTAGTATGGACATAGATTTCATTTAATCTTTTTCCTCAAATGGGATATGGTTCTTGTTTTAGAATATGGTTAAGTACAAAAAAATCTTCAATCAATATGGCCATAACCAAACCAATAAGTAAGAAACACATATTAAAACAGTTCCTCTTGCATATGCTGAGAAATGTTCAGAGGCGGATAGGAAAAGAAAAAGAAAGATCAACACCTACGTTAAATTAATTGGCTTACTTCAAATTTGATTTTCAGGGAACTGCAAAAAGGAGGAGAAAAGGGATGAGGCTAGAAGTAAGATCAAAGCAGAGCTTTATCTAGTTCCCCATTCAGTTTCTATAGTGGCCAACTAATGCCTATGAGAAACCAGAGGAAAAGCAAAGAGCAGAACCGCACCCTCCTAACTCACGTTACCCAGCAACAGGTTTCGCGAAGAAGGCTGCTTCTGAAGGTCACTTGACAACCCAAATCCATTACTCTAAGATGTGGTGGGCTCCCTTCATGGGATCCATTCAGGTGGAGACTAAACAGGCATCTATCTGCTAAATTTGGACCCCTGCACTAAACAGGACAGGCCCTTTCAGCTCTATGATTTGAGCCACTAGGATTGCTTCTCTTACAAAATATGTAGGAACAAAGAATAAAGAACAACGGGCAAAGAGAGGACACTGTAGAAAACAGTAATAGCAGCCCTTGCCATCTGATTAACAGAAAGAGAAAAAATGCTGTAATTATGAACTAGAATGTTCCTTTCCATCACTGAATGGAGGGGAACACAAGCACTGTATTAAAACAGAGTGCATGTGACAAAGGGAGATCGCTTAAGCCACACACCCTCCCTCTCTTTTCCTCTGACTTCCACTTAGACTGGGAACAATCTGTAAAAAAAAAAAGGCAGATACATACAAATGTAATTTGCCTAGTTAATCTGAGAATAGAATTTGCCACAAAATATTTATAGCCCTGAACAACAGCACTGGCTATAATTCCTTCCACAATCTAGGCATGGGCCGTACCATTAGGTCACCACAACTAGGAGGACTGGGCTACTGATGTAAGCCTCTCCAAGAAGTCTGAGCCTCGTCCATCTGCAGGTCACATAGTCCTTTGGTATTCTGGTTGCCATTCACAAGCTTCTCTCCGCAGTGAGGTATTTAAGTGCTGCCGCACCGTACTTGCGGGACAGGTCCTGATGGAATTCTTCCCTCAGAGTCTGGAGGCAGTTCCGATAGCCAGCGCTCTGGCGGAATTTGGAGATGTCAAAACTGGGAGCGTGAGGCATATGGATCATGAAGGCATTGGGCAGGACAAGCAGTTCATACTCCTGTGAAAAAGCAGGAAGTTGCTGACAGGAAGCCAGTCCCTTTGGCCCTGGTCTTCCTCAACAGAAATGACAGCCGGTGGGCTGTTCAAAAGCCATGTACTCACCTGAGCATCAAGCTCCATGATGTGAGACACCTTGTTCCAGCCAAAGCCTACAAACCTCTGGTCATAGAGGGGACAGTCACGCCTTACTACAACGTAAGGCTCAAACTGTGGTTGCCATTCCACTTGATACGGCACTGTGGCTGTCCGCCATTTGGCATAGTCTGTTGGAGCGTGGCCCTGGGGCCACACATGATACCTGTACGCAAAAACATACAACACTGGGAAACACTGTAAGTGAAAAGACTTCAATCTGCAGCTGGATCCCATACTGAAAATGAAGAGATTGAAAAACAAGCTCAGGTTAATCAGACTGCCTTGTTCCTTCTATCAAAAGTCACGCTTCTTGGATGGTTACAAGTATTGTGTTTGTTTATTTATTTATACATTATTTATAGGTCACCTACTTCCCAAAGGACTTGAGGTGGCCTACAATGCCAAACAATAAATACGTAACAACTAAAAACTCCTGACAACCTAACTAACTCGTTAGGGCAGCTCAGTACCATCAGCACCCAAACACTCTGCAAAATAAAAATGTTTTTAAGGTTTTCCTGAAAACCGAGCGACTGGGGGCACGCCTTCTTTTGGGAGGCAGGGTGCTCCAAAGGTCAGAGGCAACTACCGAAAAGGGCCGCTGCTGAGTTACCAGATGCCTCGCCTCCCATGGAGTGGGAACCTTCAGTATTCCTTAGATTGCACAGGGCAGGACGAGGGAGGGCAAAACAGGCGGCCTGGTAGATACCCGGGCACCAAGCCACACAGGCCTTCAAAGGTAATAACCAGCACTTAGAACTGGACCCCCAACTTTCTGGAAGATAGCCAACCAATTGCCGTATTTCATTAGCAATGATCTGAGTATTTAGTTCTTTAATATCTCACCCCACCTTGACAAAATCCAAGGTAGCAAACATCCCTCCACCTATACCCACAAAATAACCCTATAATACATTACTGAGGGGAAAACACTGACCCAGCATCATCCAGTGAAATTTTGGACAGGTGGGGAGTTGGGTAAGTTACTCCCTGGTTCTAGTTGAAGATTTTAACACCGCAATGAGTTTTCTTGAGTTTCACCATGATTTGAGAGTGAAGATGGAAATGTTTTCCAAGCAAACCTCAGATGATAACGGGACATGCAGCAAAGATTCTAATCATGACCACTGAGGATTAACAGGCTTGTGTAGGAGAAGCAGCAGCCCTTTTTCTGGTATATATCCAGGTCCATGAGTGTTACAGACAATAGCCAGCAATTTTTTATTGTGCCCAGAAACAAACAGGAAGTAATATTGGGGGGGAAAAAATAAACCAAGCAAATTAACATACTCTAAAGTACCATACAGCAACCAAGCTATTAGCAGATTTATTTATTTATTTGTCAAATTTATATGGCCACCCATCTCACAAATAAGTGACTTTGGGCTGCGTACATACAACAAGGCTAAAAATCATTTAATATATAAAAAACAATTACTATTATTAAAAACCTTTAAAAAACTATAAAAGCACAGGGTTAACACAAGGCTTTCATTATGAAGAAAGAAAGGCAACAGAAACAAAGTAGTAGGAGATTTCAGGGGGGACAGAAATTGGGAAGACAAAATGGTACAGAATAAAGAAAAGAAATGGCTTAAACAATCTGAGAAATGCAGAGTAGGGAACAGTCATGAAAAATGGAAAAAAAAAATATCTGAAAGAAAATGGTGCCAAAAAATGAGAGGGCCGAACCTAAGTGGAACTGGGAGAAGAGGAAATACATTCTTAACCCAGGATAACAGTACTGAATTCATACATCAGTTTTAAATAACCAGCTAAATCTTGGTGAATAAGTTATTAGAGAGAATTGTGAAGCTGGTTTTGCCCTTTGATTGCTAAAGTTGGTCCAGCAATTGCTTAAACCAAAGCTTTGATTCTTGAAAATGAATCTTTTCTGATCAGCACCTACCTGAAAGTATAGAGGGAGCCCATGTCCAGCATGGTGAGCAGCTCCGCTTTGGATCTGGGAAAGTTGAGGCGGTAATGCAGAGTCTCAAATGCAGGCACTATGAGTGCTACCTTCTTTGGGGGCAGCTCCAGCTGCATGATGGAGGACCTGGAGACAAAGGTACGCAGAACATTTCAAGATTTCAACGCTCTAGAGCAGTGCTTCCCAAACCTGGGCAAATTACCCAAAATTGGGTAAAAGTGGTTTTTCTTTGGGTAATGATACATGAACCCATTATCCAATCACAACAGGGACATTTAAATTGACCTAAAGATTGCCACATGTACTATAATATATTTGAAAATCTCCCAAAGCATTCTTATTAAGAATAAAATCGATGAAATTACCAATGGTAATTTGTTGAAATGACACAGACCATTCAACACTACTGTTTTTATAATACAGGCAGTCTTTGAGTTGCAACCATTTGTTCAATGACTGTTCAAAGTTAGGGTTTTGAGTAATGAAGGAAAAAGTTTGGGAAGCACTGCTCTTGAGGGTATTAGTACTGACATATTTCTTAGCCTGAGGTGTATGTTGGAATAAAACTAACATAGGTTTATGGGCTCCTACTGGGTCGGAATGGCCAAAAGAGACAACTGCAACATTAGTGGAAAGATGAAACGAAGAAGGTGACAGCTAAAGGGGAGAACTAAGATCAGTGTGGAAGGATGTCGAAGAAAATACTGGGCATTTCATAATTTCTTAGATCTTTAGGAGACAGAGCTGAAAACCACATTCTTGCCTTGCCCCCAGACATGGAACTCTTTGGACCTCAAGAAGACACACACCTGAGATAATCATAGAGGCCATACATAGGCAGGAAATCAATGTCCATCAGAAAAACGTGAGAGGTCTGTGCATTCTTCAATGCTATGTTGCGCAAGAGGTTGACTGGGTAAAATTGCCCTTCCTTGTACACAATGTGATAGGCAACATTCTGACGGTTACTCAGCACCTCTGAAGCCTGAGCATAGCGTAGAAACTGCTGGGCCTCTGCATCAGACATGTACAAAGCCAGGCTAATGGGGCCTGTCCAGTGTTTACATATTGCCTCCAGCATCTGCAACCTGCAAATCATCAATAAGACAAATTAAAAGCATCACATATTATTATTAATCAACAAAAAGCTATAGAGTCAAGACATTCCAGGCCCAAAAAAGCTTCTAAAATACAATTTAAATGCTCTTGAGCCCTACTACATAATTTGAGTGATGTTTCATTGATCCATTTTTAAGGTTTCCTTTTCTTCCTTCCTTACTGCTTTCCCAATACATATCAGCCCTTGTCTACATTTGAGAAAAATAAGCCACCTGTTAGAAAAGTTATAGATACCTTAGAAACAGGTATTTCAGGAATGTTCATACTATGCCAAGCACAAGGACTTGCATTCAGACAATCAGGTTTTCTGTGATATTCCCAGAAAGGTGCAATCTGCACTATATCCTAAGATCAATTACTATTTACACTAAATTAAAAATTAAATTTAAAAATTGTCCTTATTTTACTATTAACAATATTTTAACTTTATTTTAAAAAGTACATAAATTTATACAATCTGTCTGGAGAGAACTGATTTTGTGTGGCCTCCATTTCAGTCTCAAAACATACTCTTTTAGCATCCAATGTGCACGGCTAAACCCATTTAGTGACTCATGCAGCCATTTTGTTAATTGGGTCTGATCATTTCCTTTCATAATTGATTCCGTCCAGAAAGCAGATTACTTCACAATTTTGGCTCAAGACAAGGATGGAAAGCTACAATCTCAGCATTTCCCAACAAAATATTTTAAGGATGCCTCAATTCAAGGACACATGTGATACACAGGAAAGAGGTTAAAAAAGACATCAAATAATTGAAGTAAAAATGTGATGAGGTGCAGCCCCTCTGCTCAGCTCAGGATTCAGGAATGGGGGAAATTAATTCCTCCCCACCTGCCCGCTGAGATCCTACCATGCCCTCCTAGTGTTGAACTGGCTGACCTTGGGAACCAATGCAGCACGCCTTAACTAAGCTGGTGGAAGACATTGCTTGTGGGCCAGGAAAGAAAATGCACATTGAACAACCAACCTAGAACAATGAAAGGAACACCTGAAAGAACAATGTCTCCATGCCCTTCTGTTTTTCCCCATCTGGTACCTGTCCATGGATAGCTGAGCTATGAGAGTTACATCTATTTCATCAGCTGACCCTGAAAAATCATATTGCAGGAAGAAGAGATGGACACGGTGCTGAATAAGGCTTTGCCTCCGAAAATCATAGCAAGGATCGTCTTCATCCAGCTCCTCCAGAGCCTGCTGGAGCTACAATTTACACAGGAGTGTATTTGAGAAACAGAATGAGATTTAAAGATAAGACAATTGGTCAAGAATGACATGCAGCCACTGTGCATCCTTAATATGCTACTGCCTGTGGGACCCGCAAGCCATCCAGGAACTTCAAATGGCCCTCGGGCATTCCCCAAGTAGTTCAGAGGGTTCTGCCCGTTTTTCCTCATTGCCTAGTTGATGAGCCAATGGCTTGGCAGAAATGATCAAGACAATTGTGTGGGGGAGGAGTTAATCTAGGCTCTCTAACATAATCCCTGTAGGTGTGATAGCTCCCTCCCAATAATCATCATGATGACTTCCTCCTCCTCCATGATTTCACATATGCAGATTAATTTAGCTAAATGAATTTAGAAGTCTCTCAATTTCAGACATGATAAGAAGGGAGGACAGAGAGCCTCTCACCTGGCCACTGGGCAAGCTGACACAGCCAAAGAGTTCTCTGCGTAGTAAGTTGCCATCATACTCTAAGAAGGTCAAGTAAAGGTTCCGAAAGAATTCCACATGCTTATTCTTGACTCGCAACTTCTTGGGAGAGTTCCAGTGAATCACCTGAGGATGGAAAGCCAAAGTGATGGATGCTAATGCCTTCAGCAAGACACAGGCCTTTCCAGCACTCCCTTTACTTAAGCTAAAGAGTGCTGGAAAGTTCAGCAAGGGAGAAATCTGAAATCTTCCCAAGGTTACAAAAGAAGGTCAGCAGAGGTTCAGCCAAGAGAGGAAACAGTCACCTTAAGATCAGACACCTCCGTGTAGCATTGCTCTGAACGGGTATGGTCAGAGAGCTGCACATTCCAGAAGCAAGGGAGCCGGTATACAAGAGCTGGTTTCTGTTTAATCACCGCATTAAAGATGTCCTAGAAGAGAGATTGCAGTTGGCACACTGGGCACTCTGGAAGAGGAGAAAGCTCCAGGATAAAAGCAAGTGTGGAGTCACGTCAGAAGGAAACAAATTACTGTTTGTCAAATGGCAACATCTAATCTCTCTCTGCCTACGTTGAAATAAAAGCCACATTGTGGGCCTAGACTGAAAGGATAGTAAAGCACAAAAAAACTAGAACACTCGCCTGATCTGCTAGTGAGGTGGACAGCATGCTCATGAGTTCTTGCTCTGCTGTCACCCGCCACAACTGCTCCCAGCCAAGATGGCGCAAACGCTCCAGCAGCAACAGGATCACTCCTATGGAGAAGAGAAGACCAGGTCAGACAGAAACCAGTGAAGACAAAATCTCTCCATAATATGAAGGGTTTTCTTTTTTTTGAGATTGCTCAATTTTCCTTGCTCCCAAAGCTTTGGTATCCAGATCACTGCCTATGTTATATCATTTGTTTACCAAAATATTTCTATGCCACTGATACCATATCCACTTACTAATGTAACATTATTCAGGGACCAGCTAAAGGACCCACACTTTTCATGAAAAAAAGAAAAAAAAAAAGCTGACTGCCCCAGCAGAGGGAAAATTTTTAGGCAGAATTACTGGGGTACAATAATGATTCTCCTCTTCCTCTTGCTTCTTACTCCCAGCCTATCACGCAGCTGCAACAACCTTCCCCAACGCACATGGAGAGCAGAACTGAAGAAGAATAAACTGCAAGTAGTACTCATTTAACGACTGTCTGATTTATCGACCATGTGCAGTTATGACGTTGATGAAAAAGTAACTTTACAACCCAATCCTTACATTTATGACCTTTGCAGGTCTGTAAAGCAAAGGAAAGCTGAAGTAAGATCATAAGCACAGTCGCAGTTTCACTTAGTGACCACTTAACAACCGATTGCTGGTCCTAATTGTGGTCACTAAATGAGAACTACCTGTACGAGTGATACAAAGCTCACTTCTGGGGCGTCTATGCATCTATCCCAAAGGGTTGGCTTGCATTCCTTTTTGGAATTTAATAGTACAAAACAAGTTAAGCCTTGCCTGCCCACCTAGGATCATCACTGCTTAGTCATAGCCTTAAAATAAGAATAGTTGATATGGCAATTGTCCCAGCCAAACAGAGATATATCTGTTGTGGAGTTTACCTGTATTGAAGCCACGACCCAATGCTGGCCATGGTTTATGGTTCTTCCAGAGATTCCCTAGGTACCAATCACTTTGGTTTTCCACTAGCCCAATCACCTGTTTATCTGGATTAAAGACGACACCAATCAGATCCAGTGCAAGGAGCAGACTTTCCCCATTCTCAAGATAAGATCCTAGCTCACTATGCTGGACCCCAACAATTCATTATTTGCAGATAAGACGGCATCCTTCCTATCTTCTAACAATCTGCAAAAGAGCAGCACAACTGGATGGATTAGAAAACGAATCCATATTATGTCACATTCCCATAAATCTGCTCAAACCACTATGCCAATAGACTTAAGGCTACTCTCCAGAGCAGATAGCCAAATGGTATAAACCAAATTGGCTAGTTGGGAATCCTGAACAGAATACCAACTTATCTAGAGAGCACCAAGTTTTAGACCAAAAATGATACAATTGTGGATCTCAGGAAATTGTTGAACAAGTTGTAGCAACTATATTGGCTATACTGATGTATGCTGTAGTTCATCAACATCTTGGAGGGCCACAACTTCCATTCTGAGAAGCTCTAAAAAATTCCCCCCATGCCTCACTTACCTGAGAACTTCCCAAAGACAGCCCACAACTCCGCAATGTCAGTAGCAAATGTGATATCTGTATCAAGGACAATGACCTTGGAAAGGTCAGAGGGCAAAGCTTTAGTGAGTGTCAGCTTCATCAACCCATAGATTCCAGAATAATGCTTGTTAGGGATCCAGGAAATGTCTGGCTGCAGCAAGAAGAGAGAAAGATACTGAGGAATAAAATAGCAAGATCACATGCTTAACCTATGAGCAAGGTCAACATCTAAACTATACTGCTTCTATGGCTTGACTAATGAGATTCTGTTTAATACAGGAATGCAACAAAAAGAGACTGCTCTGTCTCCACTGTGATCCAGAGCCACAAATGAGTGCTGTAGAGATGCCTGCAAAGAATACTGCCAATCTGACTTGTATGCAGACTATTAGTCTCTTATTGAACAGCAGCAACATTAAGACAAATTACATATGATCAAGCCATTGGGCCCTGCATTCAAATGGCAGCTTCCACAAGGAAACAATTCAAAGCAGTGCCCGTGCTAGTGACCACTGTCAGAAAGCAACCACAATTCTGCACAAAAAAAGATGTACAAGAGCTACAAGTTTTACAATTCTGGTCGTGTCAGCTCTTCTTAAGGGGCTCTGGGTCAGAGTGGGGAACCTATAGCATTCCAAATGTTGCTGAACTGCAACTTCCAAAAGCCACAGCCAGCATAGCCATAGTGGAAGATGTTAGGGAGTTTTAGCAACATCTGGAGGACCACAGGTTCCTTGTCCTAGGGGCAAAACTTCAAAATAGGTATTGATTCAGGTCTTGGCAAGAGATCTATATTGCTACCTCCCACCAAAAGCCACTAATTCCTCCTATCCCACTGTTTTCCCAACTATCAAGACAAAACTACGGACAATGAATTGAGGATCACATAATAGCCACAGGGGGGTTCTTAGAAAAGAATCTGCTTTTGCGCCTTCTTGAGTCGGTCATGCAACTTGATTTTGTCAGTTTTTGGTAATGTAAAAGGGTCACAGAGAATGCATCTTCTCCTATGCTAGGTTCAGTTTTTATTTTATTATAAGTACTCAGTGCAGAAGACATAATACCATCAATAAAGCAGCCCCTTCCATAGCAACAGAATAAAATCATCCATGTCTAAATCCCTTAACTTTAGTCTAATTCTCCTAGAGTTTTAAAATTAGAACTGCATTTTCTATTTAGGAGCTGGATATCAAATAATCCCTATTGCAGCAATTCATGAGCTGGCTCTTTGTGTATCTCAGTGTTTCTAGTTCTTTTCGATTATGGAGAACATGCATATAACAGCTAGCAGTGGCTAAGAATAAAAGTAGTACTTTTATGGTGACCAAGGGTATTAAATATCATATTATGTCTTTGGACAACTTCATAGCCCTCCTGTATGTGAACTGCCCAAGCCAACCTTCTAATTTCCTGCCCTTGTTTTAGTTTGCCACGGAGATTAATCTTCTTAGAAGCCCTGAATTGCAGAATGGCATCCTCTCTCTCTATATGAATTATTTCAACTTTATATCCTGGATGGTTGACTGCTGCAGCCTTGACACATTATTCATTCTACTCAGTCTTGAAGACAATTCATTATCATTTGGATCCAAGATCTAATCCTCTTGCAATTATGGAAGTGATTTTTGCTGAAACTATGTACCATTTCTGTATTGACAAAGAGACAAGCTTAACATCCCTTCCCCTTGCAACAGATAAACTGAGAAATACCAACTTATCCAGATTTCCAACCACACTCTTTGGTCAGGAGTTCTCAAATTTGAGAGAGGGTCAGAAATGTTAAGGGGCTTGTGCACTTAGGGCACTTGTCCAGGCAGAGTCAGAGTGCAATTTGGCAGGGCTCCAGCATATTTGGCAACGTTCCAGCCCCAAGTGCCTATGGCATGCACGCCTAGGGCTGGATCACTCTCTGGGTGGGACAGGGAAATCTAGGAGCACAATCTTGCTTTGGGCACCCAAAGCATGCACACCCATGTTTAGATTGCTATCTGGACGAAGTATGCAGGGAGAGGGGCTAAAGTGCATTCCCACAGGGTTCTAGGTCTGAGCATCCATGGAAATTGAAATTTAATTTTTGAGGATGGGGGAGGTGTTTATTTCATGGCCGGATGCAGCACCAATGATATTGTTGGTTTGGTTTAATGGCGGGGGGGGAGGCATTAGTTGAGTATTATTGTCATATGGGGGGAATGCAGCATTGTAATTCCCTGGGGACTTTGGGGATTCAGTTAAATTTAAGTAAGTTCAGTCCAGCCAAACAGTGTTCCAGATTCCCACCCAACCCTCAAAAACAACTAACAGAACTTCACCTGGCACAAGCATAAAAGAAAAGAGTGGGACATTCAAAAGGAGAAGAGATGAGGGGGAGAGGCAGGGGCAACTCAAGTATGGAATTAATTCTCCTACCTTCAAGTCATCAGCATTGTAAAAGCTAACATGAACTGAGGGCACCATCCAGGTCTGGAACAGAGTCTGTAGTATCTGTCGGGCCACTGAGTCTGTGATGAGATGGAAGTGGAGAGGGTTCTTCCTAGCAAGTGAGAATAAAGGTCATGCTCACAAGAAATGGGAGCAAGACACAGAAGAAAACAGTCCTATCCCACTCTCTAACCATTTTTCACCATAGCATGACAGCTTACAAACCCTAGACACACTGTAGTCCCTTCTACTCTCCTGGGTAGGGCAGAGTAGATTGTATAAATGGCAGAAGAGTAAATCCAAATCTTCCCTGCTCTACATCTCTTCTCCTACACCCAGAACTGCAGCTTGGCAGCCAAGGTGCAGAACAGCTTCACACTTGAATCCCCCAAATTCCAAGGACAGAAAGAGCCAAAAATAAAAATTTTACGCTAAAGAAATAATAATAGCATTTGCCCCTCCATGCTCAGGTTACCTGTGGAAGAGGATGGATTTCACCAAAGTAACTACATCCCGGCTTGCGTTGTATCCCGCACAAACAATGGCAACATGCAGGAGCTGTTCAGAAACACAAAAAGCCATCAGGCCTGACTCCCAACTAAATTCTTCTCCTCTTTCTTCTCCTTTACGAATAAGGTTATTAGATGTTGCTCCACCCACCATTCTATAGGCTCCCATGGATTTCTGTCCCCATCAATAATAAGCCCTTAAAGAACCAAACAGAGTTGGAGACACAAGTGGAAGTCAGGCACAAACTAATATTGCCTCCTTGCCTGCACTCTTTTTTGTGGTCCCATGAAGCCTCCTCCAGATACAATTGCTGAAAATCGGTATCATGATTTTTTGTGGTCACTTTGGATCCAGAAACACATCACAACAGTGGTATAAAATAGGTTTAATATATTTTAAAAAATAAAGGTATCTACCCAAAAATTAGGGAGAGAGAGAAACAGGGAGTCCTGACCCTATCCATGGGGGTGATGTGGCCATCTCTATTTGTATCTTTGCTTTGACTACTGTGACCCTCACACTCCTCAAACAATGTAAACAATTATCCCATGTTACTAGAAGGCTGCCAATGTCTTGCTCTAGTGAATTAGATCACAAACACTTCTGCAAAGTAAGTATCACAGTACTTTTAAGTAACAAGGGGCCAGAAAGGGAACACTATGAGTATATTCAATAGTTTAGGGAACAGAATTAATCAAGGAGATTGGTCTACAGTATGCCTCTTGTTGTGACCACTAAGCCATTCCTAATTTGGGCAGACTTCTTTGTTCACAAACATGCAGTTCACAAGATGCCTTGATAATGAGTTTCATCTTTACCTCACACTTCTGAACCGTCCTCTGTTTAAGGCAACCACTGTGGTTACTCCTGCTCTCCTGCTCTTGGCTGAAGTCCGTTCTACCCCAGGTCTCCTCCTGTGCCTGAGAGTGGCTAAGCTGCAGCCTCAACAGCTGGTTTTCCTCCTCCATTTTTCGCACCTGAGATGCCAAGGCTTCACGGTCAAGGTACCTGCTTGACTGTTCCCCAAAGCAAGGGGGCAGCATAAGGGAACATCCATCTATAGAAGAAATCCCCAAAAATGTAAATGGGGGGATGGGAAGAACACTACCTCTCTGACTAATGAGCTCCCATGTCATATTATGAAACCAGAATAAGCAAGGATCTTAAATGCAAATCATAGCTGGAGCAAATAATTTGTTCAATTCATATAGATAAGTTAAAACTCCGTATCTTTTAAAATATTCTTATTTTTTTTACTGCTTTGCAATTTACCAGTTTCTTTACATTCACTATACCTGTCACTTTTTGTTATGGTCTACAGACATTCATGCTTAAACAAAAAGCTGTGATTATCACAAAGGGGGAGAGAGAGTATCAAATTAAATGTTTGAGATTGGTAATCCGCACTATAGAAATCTTCCCTAGCCTGATATCTTCCAGATTTCAGGCTTTAAATCCCATAATTCCCAGTCAATGTACAAGAAAACAAGGTAAACTTTGCCCAAAGGTTTCAATTGCCACCACATTTATACTTGCCACAATCCACCAATGCACCCAGACCCATTTTTAGGATCACCCGTCCCATTCCTGTTCCAGATTACCCATAAAGAGGTAAAGCCATGAGATGAGGAAGACCAGGGTCACTGTAGCAAGCAGCAACTTCAGCTTCACACGCCAAGGACACAGCATGATGGTGGCAAAGGTCACGTGGGCAGACCTAGCCTCATTGGAGCCAGCATTCTCTAGCCTGCAACATAGAATATGGAATACAGAGGAAGTGTTACTAGCATCCTCCAACCTCAAGAACTATTCCTTAGTTCCAAACTTGATATAAGGACTTTCCAGAGCCCAAGCAGCAACAGTTGCTAAGTCAGCTATTTCACAAGAACAAGCACTCCAGATCTAGCTCTGATAAAAGTGACCGTACCCCATGCATTCTGTACTGGTGAGCACCCAACACTGTTTCTTAATCAGTTCAGAGGCCAGATGGCTTGAGTCACTGTCTCTTCCTCTCTCTTGGCAATAGCAACTTCATTAACTCTCCAAATAGCCAATGTTTGCTTCATGTGGAGATTGGGCTGATGGTCATCAAGACTGATAATATGATTCATGGTTAATGATGGCAAACTGACAATCACAGTTATAGAACACCAGCAAGCATCTTTTGCCCCATCAGTCAGGCAATAGCTGGAAAAACAGCAAAGCTAGTTCTATCAGTTCCCTGAGTTTGGCTGTGGATAATGGCATGCTAAATCTGCAGCGTGCAAGCAAAATCCCAATGAAAGGAAAGAGGGCTATGCACAGATCAGAAATTACTCTGAAGAAGTGTTTGGGATCTTATACAAGGACAGCACCACTTTGCCATTCATTAGAGCAGACAGATTTTTTTCAGGCTTCTGCACCAGCCTGAAAAAAGGTGTATCTGCTTTAAGGAGTTTGTTAATTAAAGTTCATGCAACTCTTAAAGCAGACACATTTTTTTCTTCTTGGGCTGGTGCCCAAGACTTGAAAAAAGATTCCTTGTCTTAAAAAACATCAGAGAGGTACTTTCGAAAACTGAACAGCCCTAGAATGCAGTCCCTTTAAGAGCAACTAAGTCACCTAATTTTAAACCAGCTCTGGACATAACACTGTGAGAAGCCTTATTAAAGATCAATATCCAAGGTGATTAACACGCTATTAAAAATAATGTTCACCAAAGGACAGAAACATATTTTATTGTTAGCTATTTTTATTTATTTGCAGTCCTTACAACCTGCCCCAATCCCAAAGACTCTTGGCATGCAACTCTATAATAAATAACTAAATCCAAATCAGTACAGAAAACAAATATTAGCTACAAAGAAAGCCCAAGATATACGCCCACAGTCAGTCAGATAGGACAAGAGCAGGTCGAAATAAAATGGCTTTAACTTGTTTCCAGAATTGCAGCAAGGTTGGGGCTGCACAATTTTTTGTGGGGAGAGTATTCCATACAGTGGGAGCTATTACAGAGAAGTTTGCCATGTCACTTATGCCCTGTGAACCTCAAAAATTTGGCAAAAGTATATTTGCTTTTACTGCCATTCCAACTTCAAGAAAAGCTTTTGATTTCTTCTGAGGAGAGGGAATCCTCCAATTCCCAGCTCTCACCACTTAGAACAGGGAGAGTCACCCTGGGCCATATGTAGTCTCTTGCAATGCATCTGAGATTCTCCAATGAAATTCTCTAACAAAATGAGTTTTCACCAGCGTGAAGTTTTTTGATTTCTAAAACTAGGGTGGGAAGAGAAGGCTTTCAGAAGCAAATTACTTAAAACACACACAAACACACAAAATGTCTAGCAACCAGGCTGCTGAAATCCATCTTACCACCCAAATTCATTAAGAGTAGAAGTGAGGTTGGTGTGACTTGTCAGTGGCCTCCCACAGCCAGTCCTTTTAATTCCTTACAAAAGGCCAAACAAGTTCCCAAAAATCCAGCACTGCCCCTCCCAGGAACTGCATCCCGCACTCCTCCAGTGGAGGAGTGCAAGTTGTCAAGGTTCTCCATCCCTAACGTAAAACAAGGCACTTTCATTCAGCAGAAACTCCCCACATACTACCAGGATGACCTTCAGTCCAGTATCTGAATAACCACTGTGGATGACTGGAAATAGGATTTGGTCTGAAGATACAGGAGGTGAACATCTAGCTCTTTGCTCAACCCTAACACTGCCAACAGCCAAACTTCACCAAGGTGAGTCTGCTTATCCTCTGCATGCTAGCCAAGAGGGAACACTCTGAATTCCTAACCTGCAGATCAGTGGGGTGGGAATTCGGAGACAAGGCTTCTCAGCTGTGTTCTGTGGAACACCATGCCCCTGACATGGGGATGGCCTGCCTTCAGAAAGGGAGTCAAGGCAATGTTTGTTGCAATGAGACTTGAATGCATTTTACATCTTGCCTGGGCTATTAGCCTACAGATTTTTTAAAAAAAATTATGCTGTTGATTTTTAATTTATTTTTATGTTGATGAGTTTTATTTGTTTGGTTGTTTTATGGATTGTGCTATTTTATTGGATGTAAAATTCAAAACCATTTTATTTTTATTGTTTAGGTATTTATTTGTTTGTTTGTTTGAATTTATTAGCCACCCCACTCCAAAGGACTCTGGGTGGTGTACAAAACTAGAAAAAACATAAAAACAGCTAAAAACATTAAATCAGTCCAGACTAAAATGATGTAATAAACAACAAAATGAAGAAAACAAAAAGGGGCCTTAGACAAATAATCAACATCAACTTTTTATATGCCAAAAACTACAGAAGTAATGAAACTTAATAATTACATTTAGAATGAACACCTTAATTGGTATAATCTTATATTTCTAAGTTTAAGGCTGATTTAAATCAGATTGGGGGGGCGTGTTTTGTAGTGTTTTAACTTGGCTCTGTTGATATTCCTGTTCAAGACATGATTTATAATTCTGAGCCTCCATTCTTTGAGGAATTAAAATGGGAGTAGAGGAGGAGAATTTAAAACTGAAATATCTGCAAGAGTGCATGGAATGACAAAGTGACCGCCCACACACATTTAAAAAACTGGGGACTCCCCTATAAGAAATGGAAACCAATGTATAAACTAAAGCAAAAAAACTAAGGAATGCTTGCTTTTATGCCAAGAACATATCAGGAACTATTGGACTGGATCATGTTTTGAAAGCTCCCATTTTGTGTGGGTCAGATATGCATTTTCTTTATATTGTTCATGAAAAGTATAAACCAGCTTGTCCTAGCTATCAGCTTGTCCCTAGGGCAGACTGACCAAGTACAAATTTGTATAGCCTAACATAGGACACTTTTCTATGGCTGCTTTCCAAAGTCCAAGTTTTGTTTTAAAAAGCACACGCCACTAGAGGATCCAATTCCATCATACAATAATGCAGGCAAACAGAAAATCAAGAGGGTGCAGGTCATGACGACCTTCTGCTTTGCCCTTTAAATCAACAGCAGGGGAAAAGGTTAAGTAAGTTTCTTGAACAATCCATAGGTTGGCTTCACTTTAAATCTTCCTTAATGTAGAACCGCAGTACAATTTTCACTGTGCCAGAATTTGGTTGCATGATCCATAACTAACACATGACCTGAATCCTGGTACCAATTCCAACACTTTTGACACACTGGTATCAGAAGTGGCATTGGCAATGGGGTAAGCCATGTTCCACTGTTGCCCATTTGAATGTACTTCTGCTGCTTCCTACAGCTTTGGATCTGCAGACAATTTCCTCTAACTGCAGAATCCAGAATCAGCAGCTGCTTTCTGTAAAATTAAATAGTTATGTAAAGATAAATCTACACCTTAGTACAATCACGATATTGGCGTCACATTTAGGTTCAGATCAAAGTATTTCCATGTTTACATTTTCTTAAATAAAGCATTATTAAAAAGCCAACCTTGGATGAAAAGACTGAACAAGCTTTAACATAACCTTTTTGTTAGCTATTGTGCTGATGCCAAAAAAAGGGCTGTGCTTTTGATTAATGTTGTGTAGTTCAACAAACTGGATTTAAGAACAAGCTATGTTTATGCTGTAATTATTTGCCTTGCATTTTGCCTCTTTATATTTTGCATTTAGTCTGGATAGCTCACACAAAAGTGATCAGCCCACATGACGGTTAAAGGATTAAAATATAGACCTAAAGTAATAAAAGGTTCCACTTGGTGACTTTGGGAAGAGGGAGAGAAATCTGGCTATGATGAACAAAATTAGGAAAGGTGAGATTGATGCTGATTGTTCTTAATGTGGTACAAAATGCTACATTTCTAACCACACTGTTTAAGGTGCTTTTAGTTCACATTGCTCTCCTGATGATCTACTCAAAGAACTAAAGCTTTAAATCTCAGTTTGTCGTCAATGTGGAGAACTGCCTTCAGTCCAGCAGCATACTGTCAGCCCTCCCCTCCCACCTCCCCAAGGTATGCAGAGGAAAATCTTTGCATCTAGTCAAAGGCTCTGTGGTTGAATCTTGCTTGCTTGCCGCTCCTGACACTAATAAATAAAAAGACACACACCCCCCAAAGATGGGGAAACTAAGAAAATAACAAGGGAAGGAGAAGCAGGGCAGCAAGAGAATTTTGTTTTTAGATTACATCCAATTTTTATCTCTGCTTACAGGTTTATGCTGCTTTTATTATTTCGTTGTTAGTGTTTTATTTTAAGTACTTTAATGTTTTTTATTTATTTCTTGATAGATAAGCCAGCATTATAATTGGTTGAATGGATTGCTGACATCCCAGAGGTGAGGTAGTCATTTAGAGGGTTCCATTGGGACCAGGGCACGTCACATTGAAATCTCATTCAATAACTGAGCTCACTAGATGGATTTGGATCAGCCACTTTCTTTTAGTCCAAACTACCTCACAGCATCTTAAGGATAAAATGAGGAGCGATCCCATCTACGTTGCTCAAATTCTTTAGAGGAAAATCCATGTATCTGTCTCTATAGGTAGCAAACAAAGCAAATTCAAGGTGCTGGTTGTCACCTTTAAAGCCCTTCATGGCTTGGGACCAGGTTACTTATGGGACCGTCTTTCCCCGGCGTTCTCTACCCACCCTAACCAATTCAGCAGGAGGTGCATGGTCCGGGTATCGTCAGCCAAGGAGCATCAGCTGGCAGGGCCCAGGAGGACCTTTTCTGCTGCAGCACCCACCCTTTTGAACATGATCTCCCCGGAGATCAAATTGGTCCTGTCCCTGCTGGCCTTCTGTAAGGTCTTGAAAATGTG